TACCTTTTTAAATTCATACGGATCCCTACTATCAATTGGCATTTAAACAAATTAAAAGTCAATGGGTTAAAAAAAGTTGTTGAACAAAAAACGATTCGTTTTTAAAGTCAACCCTTTTTGATGGTGTTTTGGCATATTTCGGCCAAATAATGTCCGATTGTGGAATTTAATACCATTTTGGACTCGTAATAATCTGTACTATCGATTGGCATCAAAAAAATGAAAATCTAAATTACAACCCAAATCGGCCAAAAAGCAAGGGGTTACATCACGTTTTTTCTCAAAAACGGGGTCGGTTCGAAAATCAAAACTTTTTTGATGGTATTTTTTGAATATCTCGGGTAAATATTGTATGATTTTGCAATTTTATACCTTTTTAAAAATCATACGGATCCCTACTATCAATTGGCATTTAAACAAATTTGAAATCAATGGTTTAAAAAAGTTGTTGAACAAAATACGATTCGTTTTTAAAGTCAACTTTTTTTGATGTTGTTTTGGCACATTTCGGCCAAATACTGTCCGATTGTGGAATTTTATACCATTTTGGACTCGTAAGGATCAGTACTATCGATTGGCATCAAAAAAATGAAAATCTAAATTTTAACCCAAATCGGCCAAAAAGCAAGGGGTTACATCACGTTTTTTCTCAAAAACGGGGTCGGTTCGAAAATCAGAACTTTTTTGATGGTATTTTTTGAATATCTCGGGTAAATATTGTATGATTTTGCAATTTTATACCTTTTTAAATTCATACGGATCCCTACTATCAATTGGCATTTAAACAAAATAAAAATCAATGGGTTAAAAAAAGTTGTTGAACAAAAAACGATTCGTTTTTAAAGTCAACCTTTTTTGATGTTGTTTTGGCACATTTCGGCCAAATAATGTCCGATTGTGGAATTTTATACCATTTTGGACTCGTAAGGATCAGTTCTATCGAATGGCATCAAAAAAATGAAAATCTAAATTTTAACCCAAATCGGCCAAAAAGCAAGGGGTTACATCACGTTTTTTCTCAAAAACGGGGTCAGTTCGAAAATCAGAACTTTTTTGATGGTATTTTTTGAATATCTCGGGTAAATATTGTATGATTTTGCAATTTTATACCTTTTTAAATTCATACGGATCCCTACTATCAATTGGCATTTAAACAAAATAAAAATCAATGGGTTAAAAAAAGTTGTTGAACAAAAAACGATTCGTTTTTAAAGTCAACCCTTTTTGATGGTGTTTTGGCATATTTCGGCCAAATAATGTCCGATTGTGGAATTTTATACCATTTTGGACTCGTAAGGATCAGTACTATCGAATGGCATCAAAAAAATGAAAATCTAAATTTCAACCCAAATCGGCCAAAAAGCAAGGGGTTACATCACGTTTTTTCTCAAAAACGGGGTCAGTTCGAAAATCAGAACTTTTTTGATGGTATTTTTTGAATATCTCGGGTAAATATTGTATGATTTTGCAATTTTATACCTTTTTAAATTCATACGGATCCCTACTATCAATTGGCATTTAAACAAAATAAAAATCAATGGGTTAAAAAAAGTTGTTGAACAAAAAACGATTCGTTTTTAAAGTCAACCCTTTTTGATGGTGTTTTGGCATATTTCGGCCAAATAATTTTTTGAATATCTCGGGTAAATATTGTATGATTTTGCAATTTTATACCTTTTTAAATTCATACGCATCCCTTCTATCAATTGGCATTTAAACAAAATAAAAATCAATGGGTTAAAAAAAGTTGTTGAACAAAATACGATTCGTTTTTAAAGTCAACTTTTTTTGATGTTGTTTTGGCACATTTCGGCCAAATACTGTCCGATTGTGGAATTTTATACCATTTTGGACTCGTAAGGATCAGTACTATCGATTGGCATCAAAAAAATGAAAATCTAAATTTTAACCCAAATCGGCCAAAAAGCAAGGGGTTACATCACGTTTTTTCTCAAAAACGGGGTCAGTTCGAAAATCAGAACTTTTTTGATGGTATTTTTTGAATATCTCGGGTAAATATTGTATGATTTTGCAATTTTATACCTTTTTAAATTCATACGGATCCCTACTATCAATTGGCATTTAAACAAATTAAAAATCAATGGGTTAAAAAAAGTTGTTGAACAAAAAACGATTCGTTTTTAAAGTCAACCTTTTTTGATGGTGTTTTGGCATATTTCGGCCAAATAATGTCCGATTGTGGAATTTTATACCATTTTGGACTCGTAATAATCAGTACTATCGATTGGCATCAAAAAAATGAAAATCAAAATTTTAACCCAAATCGGCCAAAAAGCAAGGGGTTACATCACGTTTTTTCTCAAAAACGGGGTCGGTTCGAAAATCTAAACTTTTTTGATGGTATTTTTTGAATATCTCGGGTAAATATTGTATGATTTTGCAATTTTATACCTTTTTAAATTCATACGGATCCCTACTATCAATTGGCATTTAAACAAAATAAAAATCAATGGGTTAAAAAAAGTTGTTGAACAAAAAACGATTCGTTTTTAAAGTCAACCCTTTTTGATGGTGTTTTGGCATATTTCGGCCAAATAATGTCCGATTGTGGAATTTTATACCATTTTGGACTCGTAAGAATCAGTACTATCGATTGGCATCAAAAAAATGAAAATCTAAATTTTAACCCAAATCGGCCAAAAAGCAAGGGGTTACATCACGTTTTTTCTCAAAAACGGGGTCGGTTCGAAAATCTAAACTTTTTTGATGGTATTTTTTGAATATCTCGGGTAAATATTGTATGATTTTGCAATTTTATACCTTTTTAAATTCATACGGATCCCTACTATCAATTGGCATTTAAACAAAATAAAAATCAATGGGTTAAAAAAAGTTGTTGAACAAAAAACGATTCGTTTTTAAAGTCAACCCTTTTTGATGGTGTTTTGGCATATTTCGGCCAAATAATGTCCGATTGTGGAATTTTATACCATTTTGGACTCGTAAGGATCAGTTCTATCGAATGGCATCAAAAAAATGAAAATCTAAATTTTAACCCAAATCGGCCAAAAAGCAAGGGGTTACATCACGTTTTTTCTCAAAAACGGGGTCGGTTCGAAAATCAAAACTTTTTTGATGGTATTTTTTCAATATCTCTGGTAAATATTGTATGATTTTGCAATTTTATACCTTTTTAAATTCATACGGATCCCTAATATCGAATGGCATTTAAACAAATTAAAAATCAATGGTTTAAAAAATGTTGCTGAACAAAATACGATTCGTTTTTAAAGTCAACTTTCTTTGATGTTGTTTTGGCGCATTTCGGCCAAATAATGTCCGATTGTGGAATTTTATACCATTTTGGACTCGTAAGGATCAGTACTATCGAATGGCATCAAAAAAATGAAAATCTAAATGTTAACCCAAATCGGCCAAAAAGCAAGGGGTTACATCACGTTTTTTCTCAAAAACGGGGTCAGTTCGAAAATCAGAACTTTTTTTAAGGTATATTTTGAATATCTCTGGTAAATATTATATGATTTTGCAATTTTATACCTTTTTAAATTCATACGGATCCCTACTATCAATTGGCATTTAAACAAATTTGAAATCAATGGGTTAAAAAAAGTTGTTGAACAAAAAACGATTCGTTTTTAAAGTCAACCCTTTTTGATGGTGTTTTGGCATATTTCGGCCAAATAATGTCCGATTGTGGAATTTAATACCATTTTGGACTCGTAATAATCTGTACTATCGATTGGCATCAAAAAAATGAAAATCTAAATTACAACCCAAATCGGCCAAAAAGCAAGGGGTTACATCACGTTTTTTCTCAAAAACGGGGTCGGTTCGAAAATCAAAACTTTTTTGATAGTATTTTTTTAATATCTCGGGTAAATATTGTATGATTTTGCAATTTATACCTTTTTAAAAATCATACGGATCCCTAATATCAATTGGCATTTAAACAAATTTGAAATCAATGGTTTAAAAAAAGTTGTTGAACAAAATACGATTCGTTTTTAAAGTCAACTTTTTTTGATGTTGTTTTGGCACATTTCGGCCAAATACTGTCCGATTGTGGAATTTTATACCATTTTGGACTCGTAAGGATCAGTTCTATCGAATGGCATCAAAAAAATGAAAATCCAAATTTTAACCCAAATCGGCCAAAAAGCAAGGGGTTACATCACGTTTTTTCTCAAAAACGGGGTCAGTTCGAAAATCAGAACTTTTTTGATGGTATTTTTTGAATATCTCTGGTAAATATTGTATTATTTTGCAATTTTATACCTTTTTAAATTCATACGGATCCCTACTATCAATTGGCATTTAAACAAATTAAAAATCAATGGGTTAAAAAAAGTTGTTGATCAAAAAACGATTCGTTTTAAAATTCAACCTTTTTTGATGTTTTTTTTGGCATATTTCGGCCAAATAATGTCCGATTGTGGAGTTTTATACAATTTTGGACTGGTAAAGATCAGTTAGTTCTATCGATTGGCATCAAAAAAATGAAAATCTAAATTTTAACCCAAATCGGCCAAAAATCAAGGGGTTACATCACGTTTTTTCTCAAAAACGGGGTCAGTTCGAAAATCAAAACTTTTGTGTTCATCTTTTTTAATATCTCGGTTAAAACTTATTTAATTATGCTTACTGTCCCAATCGAGCTTTGTCGATCGGATTTATTTAAGCCATCACAATAGTCAGCTTAAGCTGTCTCAATCTACTTACTTTGCAAACCAAAGCCATTTGCATGAACATAATATTAAAATGAATTACTTGCAACAATTAGTTATTAAAACATTTATTTATTAATTAATAAGTTTATTTGAGTTGCTTTGTAGCAAACACTCGGTACTTTTTATTGTAGAGCTTAGCTGAGATTGTTATTAATAGACACCTAATTAGAACTATGGACACATTTTATGTTACGAAAATCAATATTGTATGCTTAAGTTAGGGTATTTATGTAAATAATATGGAAATAGTTTCATTAGCGAAATACTTACAAAGCCTTAAAGTTAGGAAGCGTAAATAGGAACAAAGTGGAACATTTACTTAAATACATGTATGTATATGTATGTATCTACTTATACTTATAACTGAAGAGTTGTGTGTTTATCAACTACCCGAAATTTAATTGAAGGGCTCGTTCAATTAAATCACAGTATTTGATGAAACTTAAGCCAAGTGTGTGTGTATATATATATATATATGAATGAATTGTAATTGTAATTGTAGATACAGTATCTATAAATACATCTGCCTGCAGCTCATAATTATCCCGCCTAGACTTAAATATTACTCAGCTTTGCTTTCAATCAGTCAACACATATTCGTTATTTCTTAGTTAAATGTTAATTTTAAATTAAAATTTTGAAGTTTTAATGTTTCATGTATCGTGTTTAATTGCAGCTGCTCCTTGGCTCCCATCGGAGCATAGAGAGTTCAAGAGTTCAGCTGGCATTGTGTCTAGGGAGGGGGAGGGGGAATGCAATGCAAATTGGCAATTTAGTATTGTTGCAAACTGTAATTGTGCACAAATATTGAAATACTCTTGTGCGCAAAATGCCAAATGGACTCTACGAAAAACCACATCGAATGAACTTTTGCTTACTTTCGACTTAATAAATGAAAATAATGCTACAAATCTCAAAAGCATGCAACTTTTGGCATTAAATGGCAATTTTTGGTTATCTTGCATGCAAATTCACTTAGCCCATAGCTCCAGTTCCGGCGTGGGCAGCATAATCTCGTAATCTTCTCCATTAATATACATAAAGAGAGAGAGATGTATATATACGGATAACACTGAGATAGACACGGGTGGGATGGTTTAGGCAGAGGTTGAGTGTGGTTGGGTTTGGGTAATTGGCTTTAACGCGGCACCAGCGTGGTCATCTCTGAGGGCATGGGGTTCTCGGTGAGTGCAACAGATTCCGTTACGGCGCTGCGCGTTCCATTTACCGTGTGTCTTGTGTTAAATTCGGTGGCCGCAATGCTCATGCCGCCGAGGCAATCACCGTCGGAGGCGCCCCGTTGGACGCTGTTGCCCAGGAGCTGGAGCTCGTGTTTGCGACGTCGACGCGCTGCCGCTGCCTGCACGTTGCTGCCTGTCGTGTGACCATGGAGAGCAACATTAGTGGATTCAGTGGAACGACACAAGAGTTCTTGAAATTCTTTACGGAAGTTATCGTTGAGCCATCCATACAGCAGCGGATTCGAGCAGGCCGAGCTCATGCCAATCATGTGGCAAATGGCATATGCCACAAGCATTCTCTGCGTCACGGCCGATGGATGCTGCAGGTCCGCATACAAATTGAAAAAGTTCAGTGGCAGCCACGAGACCCCAAAGATGATCGCAATGCTAATTAGCAGCCGATTCGTGCGCTTCATGCGTCTGCCCCGCTCCACTTTCCGCTGCGACGAGCTCTGCACCGTGACCACAGTGATCCGGCTCTTCAGCTTGTTGTAGATGCCAAAGTAGGCCACCGACACGATCAGTATGGGCACCAGATACTGCACGCACAGCGAAAAGATCGAGTAGTAGAAACGGCCATCGCTCAGCGGCCAGTCCTCGATGCAGTACGATATCCTGTGCGGCACGCCCAGCCTCTGCAGCACTGCCGGCATGTCCATGCTGATCAGCTGCTTGTAGATGAACAGGGGCGAGGCTAGTGTCAGGGCGAGTATCCAGATTCCCGCTAGGATGGCGACGGCTCCCACAAACTGCAGGCTGTCCCGCGTGGGATACACAATTACCTGTTGCATGGTTAAGAATTTTGTGTACGAATAGAAACTTTAGTAACTAAACCAAACAGAAATTATAAACAGACTGCTCATAATGGCTGACTTACTCGCTATGCTTACTTATTTCTTTTTATAAGCAACGAAATCATTTAATTTAAGTTATTTTTTTAAGATACTTTAGCTGGTTGCCTTTCGAATCAAGCAAGTCCGCACCTATACTAAATACCATAGTATATAATTCTATAACCTTTCGTTTACTCCTTATGGGTTGGTTATATTCATCATATAAAATAAGTATAATATATAATTTTGTCTATTTATTATTAAATTATTAAAGGTTTCTTCAATCCAATTATATCAATTTTAAAACCGAACTATTCTAAGCTACGAAAATTAAGTTTACTGTGCTAATCTAAAGCTGGCAAAGCATATGAGAATAACAAATATTTTATTGTCTATTCATTTCAGCCACAAATATGATCCCCAATTTTTTTGGAATTGGTCAAGCAGTTAAGGAAAGGCTATTTTGTATCAATAAAACTAGTCGCCTAATCTTCAATCATCATCGGTTTTACAATAGTGGCTCGCAACATTTGGCGCCGAATCGTTTTATTTTACGCTATTTGACTTTTGATTAGAACAGACGACAACAGTGCAAAGTCGCTTTATCGATTTTCGCTAGCTGTCATAACAGTTAAAAATCATTATGGTTAATGTGCAGCTCTACTAACCTGATATCTGTCGAAGGCGATGGCTGTTATGGATATGGTCGACACGAATATGCTGAGGGCCTGCAGCGTGGCAATCGTTTTGCACAGGACGGCACAGGAGCCGTATGGCCAGAATTTTGAAAGGATTTCCATTAGTGTTAACGGCATGGTAACTAGGCACAAGAGCAGGTCTGCGAATGGCCAACGAGCAGATGCCATAAATGTCAATTCGACGTCAAACAACACACACACACAGAGACACAACCCCCCAACTCACCCGATATGGCCAGATTGAGGATGAAGAGGTTGCGGGCGGTGCGCATGATTGGTTTACGCAGCACGGCAATGACCACCATTATGTTGCCCATGGCTCCGAACACAATCAGCACGCTGTACATGGCGATTAGCAGATGGTACCAGGGACTCCCGATGGCACGGTTATGCAGATACTGATCCATCAGCACTGGATCCATATCCGCGGGCATTAAGTTGCTCTCGTTGCTTGTGCTGTTCAATAGCAACATGGTCATGTTGCTGTGGCTGTTGCTGCTGCTGCTGTTGCTGCTGCTGCTGCTGTTGTTGTTGCTACTGTTGCTGATGCTGCTGCTGCTGCTGCTAACATCGCCTGTGTTTAGCGAGGGAAAATTAGGCAAATGTCGTCGTTCCCCAATCAGATCAAAATTGCTGTTTCTCGCAATCGCTTTAAATATCTCCGCTGAGCTTTCAAATTGCGGCAATGTTCCAAGTTCAGTGCGATTCATGGCGATTATCTGTTGAGAAATAAAACTGTCTTTGAATCAGACTTTACCCACAATAAAATGGCGAGAAAAAACAAGTGAGAGTACTTTTGACGGGAGTACCCTACTAGGAGATACCATGGTGCCAGCTCCGAGCAGCCTTTACAAACATTCTCTCAGGATGTGCACCTTATGTGCTTCTTCCTCCTTTTAAATCTTACTATAGGAAATATGTTCTTAAGTAACTACGGAATTTATTGTTTGATCTTTATAAAAATTGTAGATCACAAAATTTGAATTCAACTATGTTTAAATATAAAAGCCCACGGCTAAAGCTCCACAAATAAGTTCTTTTGTTTTTTAATTTTGTTGGGAACTGGGGAAAGTATCAAAAATTTGTAAAATGTTTGATATGTTTATATCATTCCAGAGTCCAGGTATTAAATTTGGAATATCGAGCTCTTTTAAGCTCTGAGATAGGCACGCATTTTTTGAATAAGTTGAAATAAACTTGACCTTTTCGGTTTATGGCTCTTATAGTCTCTGATATCGATGTATTTATACAAGCGGACGTGCGAACAGAGATAAGGATGTAGCTATATCGACTCAGCCGTTGATGCTGATCAATTAAAAATATACTTTATAGGGTGGGAGAAGCATGTTTCTGCCTGTCACATACATTTGTGAACTTCAGCATACCCTTTTTAGACATTTTCAACGGGCTTATGGTATCAGGACAAAAGGGATTCGTTGGCATTGCGTGTGTGTTAGACGTGATTTAAGTGCTGGTCCTAACACACACGCCACACATGCTCCCACAAACTCCCGCAACTCCCTGAGCAGGACCTTAGAATTTGCCTAAAAATAAACGGCAATAACTATCCCCGAACACGTGCAGTGCCAGCCGCTGGGCTTATACCAAAACTTTCGCTGTCTATTGCCTTTTGGCATGCTCTTAAGTTTTGATGCCAGAGGCTTACAAACTCCATAAAACTTTGCCTTTTTTATAGTTAAAGTAAAAGCAGAAGTAAGCACTTTTTGATAAAGAACTATATATTACAACAATAAAAATTCACAAATAAAATGAAATTTTTTGCTGTTTACAGCTCGACTTATTTGCCTGCTCCACACAGATTCTTTCGTTTGCTCACAACTTCTCGTAAATCTATAATTTTCACTATATTTATAAATATAATGAACATAGTTGAGACATCAGAGCAAAGCATGAGAAAAATGTTTTTAATTAAAAAAGTTTCGCTTTGCGAATGGAGGAAAAATAAAGTCTGAAATGATTTTTTCATATAGCTTCCCCCCAGTGTTCAATAATCTGCATTAAATTTATGCAGAAAACAAAACGGAAAATATTTGAGGTGTGGCCGCAGTTTAAATACTCTGAATATTGCTAAATGTTAACTATGTTAATTATGAAATTCTTGTGAAAAACTTTTCAGCCGATAACTGTTGCAATATATTTAAGCACAGCCTCAAAATGGGAAAACTCTCTAATGTGTTTCGTAATCGTTAATGGATCCAGCTATTAAAAAAAGGGCATTAAGAATCATTGATGCCCCATTAATGGCCATTATTGGCGTTTCCCAGCTACGCGTGAATTTTATAATTAGCTCTGGACTTCTAGAAAATCGTTTGCAGCTCTGTTTACATGATTTGCTTCATAATTTATGCAACGCCTCCTCATTGACAGGGCAACTAAACCTCTGTTTAAATTTAAAGTCAAGTTTAGAAGCTTTTGAAAGACAAATAATAACTTCTGTCGGAGCGTTGCCAGGTCCTTTACAAGCCGAAGCACACATCTTTGGGGCAGTCATAATGAGAATTGAGCGGGCAGAAACTGCCTCAATTATCTGGAATGTTATGTTTACGCAATGGGGCGCATCTCTTTTATATCGAGAGACAGGCCGACATTCGATTTGTACTCGGGTTATAAATGACGACAATTGCTTAAGATAATTGCGTAATTTTATGCAGCAGATGGGTGCGTACTTATCAATGTCAATAAAGCGAGGGAACGCAAATAGAGGTTGAGATGTGTAGCAGCAGTAGCACATTATTTAGATTCCCTAAAGTATGCAGCACAATCGGTTGATGCGATTAATGTGTTGCCCATAAATCAAGAGAGGCTCGCACCTCGTCGCACCAGACGCTGCTCAGGGGACTCAGGCGAAAAACATCCCAAAAGAGTTGATGTTAATGTGGACACTGTTTGTAATCGTTGCTCATCTGCTGTAAAACTTGAATATTGATTTTGAATTTCCCCTTGGGCTGAGCTGATTACAAAATGCACACAAACCTGCAATTCAAAGTTTGCAAATATCAATTGACAAATGTTTGTCTCTGCATTGACCACAAACTTTGTCTGTGGACACATTCAAGTAAGAGATTTATAATGTAGGGGTGTAATAGATACGCAAGCATAAAATATTTATTTACAAGTGCTAAAAGTTCTCAAAAAGGTAGATAGCAATAGAAAAGACAAAGTTTTACAAAAAAAGTTTCACCAATTGCGTGTTTCGTTTCGTAGAAACAACCACGGCCTGTTAGTCATTTCGTGAGAATCGCTAAGAAGGGCGACTGAGTACAAATTGAGTTTTCATGTCAGGGAAAGCGCTTCAAGTTCTTGCTGGAGTTTATTACAGTTTTGTTTGGTTACGTTTTTTTTTGTAGCCCTATATCTCATTGGAGCGTTTGCGAAATGACTTTTTCAGAAAGTTGACGACAAGAAAATTATGTAAAGTAGCCTCAAGTTCATAGAACTTGTCATGAATTTGAATAATTTTCAAACTGTCAACGCTCGCCGCGAATCGCCCGTCTTACAGCGTGGGTGTATTTGCGTTCTTCGCCAAGCCACATTTGCACATTAAGCTGCGTGATAAAGATATTAAATGCCATGGCCAAGAAAAAAAAGAAGAAAATGAAAACCCCAAAACGGCTTTTAACCCATTTTTCTTTGCAGCTTTTCCATTTTTGGCTCAGCTACTTTTGTGATTTATTTGTGCTCGTGCCGCTGGCAGGTGGCTGTGCTGCAGGGCGGGCTGCTCCTCGCCTTTCGATGCTATTTCTATTGCTAAATGACTTTTATGGCCGTTTACAGAGAACGGCGGAGCTTAAGATCTTAGGCGTTACACATGAAAAATGTCTCAATTTTTCATAGGCAATGTTACAAATTCATTCGTGTAGCTACATCCACTGAAAGTGATTCGATTTATTAATGGGTTGCGGACGAGCGGACGAGCGGGCGAGCGGTCGAGTTGTACAGCAAGAGCAAATCTATTTCGAGGATGTTATAAAATAAATGGTTTCTGAAGCAATTAATTCGATCGGGGGTCAAGCGCTGGGATAACAATCGGAATTGGCAAATTGGATTTTGGCCAATATTCAACCCCGTTTTGTGGTTGCAAAAGAAAAACAAAAATGGGCTCAAAATCGTTTAAACGGGCTAAAGTTTTGCAAATCAATGCACAGGCCTGAAATAATATCAACCGAAAATGACGCACAGCCACATTTGATGGTCGGGCCGGACCCCTTCTTGCTCTCAGTTCATTAAATGGAACTCAACTCGAAGAGATATAATTAAATTTAGAGCAGTTGCTTGGGCCAGTACGTGCTGCTGTTCATCTGTCAGGCGCAGTCAGTTCATAAGAGGCTCTATAAATGTAAAATGAAACGATGCCAACTGCCATATGGCCAAGTATGTTGGGATGCGCCATCAAGAATCACAACGGAGCCAAGCAAATAAATTACCCAGCAAGTGGAAACTTTTTGTTTCTTGCTTAAAAGCGAAAAACAAAGTTGAGGACTAACGTAATTTTACTGCGAGTTAACATCTCATTTGGGCAGGTTGCTTGGCACAACAACGAGACACTTTCGAGTATTTATATTGCAATCAGACTTACCATGCCTCGCCCTTGTTTGTGTGGCCCCTTTGCCGCCAGCTATGTGTCGCACTTATTGTTCTCCAGTTTTCCGTCGTAAGTAGCTATAACTATGTATCTGGAACTGTCTCTGTAGTTATAGCACTTGTTGTATCTGTTCGAGTTCATTCATTCAACTTGCAACATGAAATGCACTCAAGGGACTTATATGAAGTTGTTGTTGTTGTTGCAGCAGGCTCCTTGTGCATTTTTTCCTTAATCCTTGTCGCACAATATTTTACTTCAACTGCAAGACACAGAATGGCACTTGTGTTGCGAATAAATTTATATCAAACATTCCAAATAAATCCTTGCACTTTGGCGGCATATGCGAGTCTTAGGCTGCTGCAAAGGACTTTACTACACTAGTAAAAACACTTCGCACAAGTACATATATTTTAAATATCTTTAGCTTTAGGTTTGCACACTTTTACTTTCCAGCTGCTGCCGCAGGCGATGGCAGCGCCTTGCATATACATTTATTTGCATATTTTATTGCATACATTCATCTGCGCATTTTATTCGCACCACCTACTCATGTCTGCCTGGCTGCACCGCTGACTGGCAGATCTGGAAAATTTGCTGCCAGTCAGCACCAATTTAACAAACTGGAAAACGCGTTGCTTTCAAATGTCAGACTAAATTAAAATTACTTACATCAGCGCAGCAAGCGAAGGGAGTTAAACCAATTTAAATCCTGTCAGACTTCCAATTTTTCATATTTCACATTTGCATGCAATTATCCCAGCACAATGTCAATTAACAGCTGCAGCTCTTACCAAACCTACTTTATGCCCTATGCTCAAAAAAAAATAAAATACCTGAAAAGGGTATGTTCAAGTTGGGCTTATGTAACAAATCAACCTTAAACTAACGAAGAGTATATCTAGACGTTAAATATAATTCGGCTTACGCTTCGAATCGACTTCCAGGCTTGAGCTCAGATTTTAGTTGAAACTTTGTCATATATATTTCAAAATCTTCATTAAGCAATTACAATTTTATTTTTGTAGCTGCCAATTTCAGTGCATATGTCCCTTTCAATATATGCCCACAATTGGCATCTACCAAAAATGTTTAAAAAATAACATAAGGTTCATTTGTTCTTTAGTGAACTTGGGGAAAAATTAGAAAAATAAATTTTAATTGCAAGCCTGTTCGTTTTTAATCCTTGATACATATACTAATTTCTTAATTTTTCAAATGATTGCCCTAGAAATAGTTTTAAACAACTTTAATGAATATTTCATAATTAATTAATTTGATTTGTATATGTTTGTTTCTGCACCACTTCAAAGATAATTTTTCTGTACATACACAAACTCAGCCAAACAATTTCTGATGAACTTTTCGATGGTGTGCAAGTTAATTGAATATGATGTTTTATGCATCCGAGTAAATGCACATTAATATCAGATATTAAAGATCTTGTGTTTATTCACATTTCATTACCCAATTAGTTTTTTGTGTGCTTAAAAGCATTTTATTCTTTGCGCTTTGTTCGATTTTCATAATTTTTTTGCGTGACCAAAATGCTTTTAGTTCTCACCTAAACGGATTTCCGCTCTTCATTTCCGCAAATCCACATTAACCAAATACGCTTACACTTTATTTTTTTTTCCTTCATGCGGTGAAACTTAAGCATTCTGCACAAATTCCGGCACTCAAAATTTATTCCGCTTGAGTTACAACTTCCTTTTGAGATTTATTTTCTTATTTTGTTTAGGTTTTTTTTTTATTTTTATTATTTTGTGCACTTTCCACTATTTCGCCAATGCGAACAGATAGTTAGAATCGTAATGATGAGGTTTGTCTGCCGCACACGTCGCCTCGCATTACGCCAGATTCCAAATTTGATTACACACTTGGCACTTGGGCAGAACGAATACGGATTCGTATACGAATACACAGACCGTATTCACAATTCAAATTCACAATTTGGAAGTGTGGCGTCCGGCACGTTATTAGCAAATATCCGCGTACCAGTTGGGGGATTCTGTGAAAATTTCACGCCTTCAACTTTTTAATGGCGACGCACGCAAAAACAAACAAGAAAAACATTTTCCACACCTTTTCTGTTGTTACCTTTTGATTTGCAAAATGATTATTTTCCAACTGCGAACATAGTTCGCCGCATCAGAATATTTTATGAATATTCAGCATTTTGCAAATATTTTATTTATTTTTATTTATTTAAATTTTCGGTTTTTTTGCTATTTGTTTAGCTTGATTTTGAAATTGTTTGGAGCACTTTTTATAATAACTTTAATGTGCGGCAAGCGTTTCATTTCAGATTTAACGATCCCGATAACTCGGCGCGTTAACAGCCGGCGACCATCTGTTGGCTTTTAGCGCACAGCCCTTACTTTTATAGTGTTGGCCCTTAGGCAATTCGCCAGCACCAGCACCAGCACCAAAGAGCGCTCGTTGCGTATACGCTGCGTGAGCCCGAAGTTGCAACTGAACGTGCCGCGCACACAGACAGCTCAAAGGCGAATGCTTTTGATTTCGTTTGGCCCAACAGCTGTCCGGAGCTTTCTTATCACTGCTGCTTGGGGTTGGAGCTGCCCAAAAAAGCTGTCAGCGCTTGTGGGATACAGTGGGACAAAAGCTTTTCTAGATGGCATCAAATATTATTACTACAAATATTATTACTGACATTATTATTACTATTAAAATTATTGTTATTGTTATTATTATTACTATTTTTATTTGTATTGTTATTATTATTTTTATTATTATTAATATTGTTTTTAATTTTATTTTTATTATTATAGACATTTTGAGAAAAAACTAAAAAAAATAATAACGTTGCAAAAATTATGCCTTTTACACTACAAAAAAAAGGGATATATATGTATGTATAAAAATTTTGATAAAATATGTCAAAATTGGATACATGACAAGTCGGGGTCGATTTTGAAGTGTTATATTTTTGAGTGAAGTTCCACGAGGAGGAAATGGCGGCATTTATTTAATTTTACTGCTCATCGAGCAGCCCCTTGGCATCGAATATGGGCAGCAATTGCGCCACAATGTTCTGTGCCCTGTCACTCTCGTATACCGAGTCCTGAAAACTAATCGCCTCCGCCGTGTCCTGATAAAGCTTCCAAAAGTCCGGAGATTCATCGCCAGTATAAATCATCAGAGGTTGAAATACCAAACCTATTACAACGCCTGGAAAATGTAAGAGAGCCTGTGTAAGTAACCGATTCCCAATTGTAAATAAAATGTAGAGTTACATAGAAATTTGCGACGCTCGAATTGCAGCTGGAATTCCAATAGGCTAGGTAGCTTGCCTTTGTAGTTGAACTGGCACAAGGTGCGCTTGAGTGCATAAAAATAATATTGCACCAGCTCCGTTTCCCTGGCCAGCACATTATCCTGCAGCGAGGTGCTGAAGAAGTAATGCAGATCCAGAATGGGAGAGGTGCGTGTGCTGAACTGAAAGTCTATGGGCACCACAGTGGTTGGCTGGCCCTTCCCGTCGTACTGGAACATAATGTTCGTAGTCCAGCAGTCGCCATGGGTCAGTGTCTGGAAATCGTCATCCGTCACATCGAAAGCACGTGCGCCATACTCCATGAGATTGTCCAGTAAACGGGTGAGCTTAGCATGGTAACGCGCCTTCAGCTTGGGCTGCGTCTGGACGTAGCGGATGAGTCCCCTGAAGAGGCACGTGAAGAGCACGGCGTAGCCCTTGGGGCCACGAGTGAAGAAACTGGTTTGAAAACGCCTGGCCAGCAGCTCGGGATGCCGTTGCTTCAGGACCATGGCGGATGCATGATACTTGGCCAGCATTTGCAGAGTGATGTGAGTGTGGGCCAGGTCCAATTGCTTCACACGATCGGCATTTCTATACTCGAGCAGCGTCAAGTCCTCCAGCAACATGATGCCGTGCTCCCGGTCGATGCATACAGCATCCGCATGCAGCTTATCCCCGATGCCCGCCTCGCGCAGCAGCTGCGTCATCCTGGGCAGAACGTGCTCATACATGTCCATCTCGCGTGCGTACACATCGTACTCTGCAAACATGCCCGCCTGTGGCGCATCTTTGGGGCATGCCTCCTTCAGCAGATAGGTGCGCTGCGCCACTGCACCACCCGTCGCCGCCGCCTCGAGCTCCACATGAATGCGCGTCACGATGCCCACATAATTCTCACCCTTACCCGTGGCCGCATTGGACCACAGCTTGAGCACATTTAGCTGCGTATCCTTGTGGAAGGCTCGAAGCTGCGACTGCATGTAGTCATTGGTAAGCCAAGTGGGCAACTCGGAGATCTGCATCTTGTTATACTATTCGCAGTTGGTTTGCCTTTGGTTGATGCGCTCGAACTGAGACTCTACTCGACTGCGATCCACCTAATACTTATAATGACGGTCCAAGGCGCTTAACTAGCACATCACGTCACTTCGGTGTGGGAACGCATCTTGATACTTATTACGTAGCACCCTCTAAAGTGTGGCGCTAATGTCAATTAACTATCTATATGACTGGTCGTATAGAGTATAAACTAACTAAATTAAACAATTAAGTGAGCTCTAGACGGCAACGACTGTCTGGGATATACCATATTCTCCGCGTTGAGCTACCCTCACAAATGTTCTAGCATATCCAAAAATTGAAATATTCCAAGGGATTGGTGACTATACGAAACCTTACATACCAAACTTAGTGTATCCAACTCTCATAGTTTTAATGTTGTACTCGAGTCTCTAAATCGATATTTAAAGATGTTTATAAAATGGTACAACAATACCCACAAAAAATTGAAGCCTCTTCCCACAGACGGACAGACCGACATGGTTCGATTGACTCAGCTCCTCGGCTGAGATAAAAATAAAATATATATATATATATACTTTATGGGTTCGAAAATGCTTCCTTCGGCCTGTTACACACATTTCCTCCCAAACACTATACCCAAACGGGGCTGTTTGCGACTGCATTATTTTATTTATTTTTATTTACTTAAATAAAAATACATATTTAATGAATTTGCCCTAACGCTCTAGAAACTGACCAAATAGATGTCATAATTGGCATCTAGCGTGGCAATTTACCTAAGGTCTAATTACACAGATTAGATAAACATAGTCAGTCCAACTTGTCAAGAACTTTTATCTTAGATTGTAAAAATTATCTATCTAAACTTCAAATGTACAGAGAAAAGGGAGAACAGAAAGCAATTGAGAAAGAGTATAGGAATACAGAGTAAATAAACAAAAAAAAAAATAGAGAAATTATGGTATAAAAAAAGGGATATTCCCCCTCTATCTCTTAATGTATTATATTTACATATTTGAGTGGTGAGTAGGGGTAGAGAGGCAAGGTGTAGATAGGTATGGATGGGATTGATAAAGTTGTCGACTCACCTGAATGGATTATACATTAAATATTATAAGCACCAACATTTGTTGAATTAATTCGAGAATATCCATATATATACATCTTGACCTAACTCTTGTCGATATCAACATTGGGTATAACTATTGTCAGAATGCCTGCAAAAAATTACAAATAATAATTTATATTTAATTTAATATTTAAAAATAAAAATCAAATAAAAAATACATATCAAGAGAATGTTCTAAGTTACTTCTAATAACTTAGCCAAAGCTGAACTCAACTAACTAAGCAAATAATACATGATTTTTTGACTTTATTGACATGCTGCCATTTTAATTCTATTCGCAATTCAACATACTTTTTTAAACTGTTGCGAAGAATGTCAAACTGGAATCATTTTTGACATTGCCTTTCTTGCAAATTATTTTTCAAATATATTTGAAAAATTGATAACATTACGCGAATATTTATATTGAACGAACGCATTTCCTTGCCAAGCCTTGGTAACAGCCGCTGTCATAAATTTAGCCGCTGCTCGGGATCATTTAACACGTGGGCCAGCTCCGACGGGGGGCTTATCGTTTGTGTTTGCGGGCCGCTTAACTGCGCAGCTTTTGATGGGGGCCATAAATGGGCGCAAACAGAAGTGAAGTAGGAGATATTGACCCGCTCGCTCGTCATCCAATCGATGGCAGCAGCAGCAGCAGGAGAAGCGCCTTCTAAATCATATTTGCTCAACTAAACCATTTACACATGTACTGAGATAGCGTCGAGGCAGGCTGTTCGCCTGTTGGGCTGTTGGCTGCAACTTTTATATTTATACAAATGATACAAATGATATAAACATATTGATTTTGGCGCTGGTGCGTAGTTCGCTGGCCAAACAATTAGAGCAAAGTCTTCGGCGGCGGCCACTTTTTCGGCAGCCAAAGCAAATTGTTTGGTAAACAAAAGCGTGCAGCTGATAAGGCCTAGGTAAACACACGCAAAGCACCGCCGCACCACCGCACCACCGCAAAATATTTGAGCAACTGTTGCGAACATTTCATTTATTAAATACTTGGGTTGCCTATGTAAATTAATGTTAAGTTAAAAGCAATATCAACGATGACGATAATTTTACTAGGAGCAGGAGGCGGGCGCATTCCTGGCACGAATCAGGTTCACGCGCAGAAGCTCTACTGTAGCCGCTTGCTGATGGTGTCCAGGTAGTTGTGGCCATGATAGGCCTTACTCGTCGCCCAGTCCTTGCTGTAGCCATTCGCGTTGACCTCGTGCGGACTGGAGGGACTGTAGCCGGCGTAGCCGTTGGAGTAGCTGCTGCCCAGGAACTGCGAGTAGTCCGACGGATCGGAGTCGTAGACGTGCGAGTGCGATTGCACCAGGTGCGGATGGATCTTGCACAGCGTCTTGTACTTCAGATAGTGTATCAGCCAGCCGGTGCCGCCCACCAGCAGCACATTCATGCCCAGCACGCCGAGCAGCAGCGTCACCAAGGTCATCTTCAGGTGCGCGATTTTCATCAGTATGATCAGCGGCAATATGATGAGCCACTTCTTCTTCTTGCGATGACCGCGACTCTCTGTTGCGAATCGAACAGTTCAGCTAAGTTGACCCCGGCTGCAGTTCGTCGTGGTACTCACCCGCCTCGTCCAGCACCCTGGCACCTGTCTCCTTGGGCAGCGCCAGCTGCACGCCATGATTGCGGCCAAAGGTCTCCACGGCCCGCTGCAGGAACTTGAATATGTTCACCAGCTCGCTGTCGCCTGCAAAGCATGTGAGATGAGATGAGATGGGTGCGTAAAAAAAGGTGTGTTTATCTAGCCAAGAGCTGTTTGCGCTGGCCAAAGACAAATAAATAAAAACTGAGGCACATATAAAATAATCCAAAGTTCCGTTGAGTCTAATTAATTAGATGCGCGATAAACATCCGCAGTCGTTTATCACTTCTCTTCTTTTTTTTTAGATTTCTGCAGTCCAAACAAAAAAAAGGCAGGTGAAAACCATGTGGCCAGCCAGCAGGCCAATCTCTCGCATAAAGCGCAGCTGCTAATTGGCTGGGTCAGCCACTTTCCCACTCGAGCGGCAATCAAAGCGACTCAGTCGCGGACCTGACTTGGACCCACCTGCCAGGCTCTTGGCATCGTTGAACACGACGATATCATCGGCCGGCTCGCCCAGCTGGACCAGCCGCAGCCAGCGTGGCTTCTGCTCGCCCAGCGAGCGCTCGTACTCGTTGGGAAAGAAGCCCATGCCGTTGGTGGCCAGCTTCCAGATCAGTTTGGTTGCCTTGTACTTGATGCAGGACACCAGGTTGCGCGTCTCGAAGCACTCGCGCTGATTGCGCGCTATGTAGACATCGCTGTGGGCGACCAGAGAGCCGCCGGCGCGTGGCAAGGAGCGGACCGTCTCAATATGCAGCTGCGGAGTGGCGGCTGGAACTGCGGCTGGAACTGGGACTCTGGCTGAGACGGGGGCGGCTGCTGCAGAAGTCTCCTCCAGAGCGCTGCCTAGGCGCAACAGCAGCAGCAAGACCAATGCCAAGTAGGCAGCTATGCTCCAACGCCAGAGAGACATATTGCTTCGGACACTTGTGTTGGAACTTAAAACAGAGGCGACGATTCTCGCGGAGCTAGCTAAGCTATAAGCTAAGCACCGCACGGCTGGCCGAGTGAAACACAAATGGAAACTGAAGGCGACCGGGTACTCCTTTTATCACAAAGCACAACTCAACCGCATGTGCCGTCTAACGAGCTAGTCGCTTGGCGACTTGGCCACAGTTGCAGCCACATCTAACATGCAGCATGCAGCATGCTGCAAGCACCGGAATTGCGATTCCTGCCTCGCCAGCAGCTGCATTGGCGAGTCCGACTCAAAGTCAAAGTCAAAGTCGATGCCAGTGCGTCGCTTTCTGGGTCAGAGCCAGCGCGAAGCATGTTTTGAGGCAAATTGAATCGCATTTGCCGTCGCCGTCGCCGTCGTCGTCGTCGTTGTCGTCGTCGGGATTATGAGCCAGCGACCAGCCGTGAGACTGAAAGCAAAAGCCGCAAACGTGAACGCCAAACGAAAGTGAATCCCATGTATCTGACAGTTACTCGGGCAAACGAAACGCCTTGGCGCCATTCAGGCCTCGTCGGCCAACAGAAAACGAGTTGCGGCTGCGCAGATGCATTGTAAATGATAGCAATCAGAATAAGTGCGAATGCATTTAAGTGAGATTAACCCGTGTACCGCAGCAGCAGCCTATAAATGTGCACATATTAAACGCATATTCAGATACAAATGCACTTCGAGAAATTTTGCATACTAATTTCTAGTCTGAGCGAGTTAGCATTGCCATCATTTTCCTCTTTAAATTTCAAATATGCCTCTGAAAAGTTATTAATTCAGAGCCAAATTTAATTGTAATTGTAAAAGAATAACTGAAATTAAAAATTAATAAATAAATTGATTAAAAGAATTGGATTAAGTGGAAACTAGAGTTGATCCTTGATCATCCGTGATATTTGGGCTCATATTTTTTACGTATTGTCAAATATTCCGGCTTAAAGATTTTAAAAAATTTCAATATTTTTATTTATTAGCAATAAATTACAGCCCGCAACTTCACGCACCAAATCCTTGACCCTTAATTATTTCAAGGAGGAATCGATTTTCCGAAAAGTGTGAGATACCCCTCAAATGAATGGGAAGATCTTTGAAATGCTTCTAAAAGTTTTGCCCAAAAACATAAATCTCCATAACAAAAGGAACAAAAGGAAGTGAATATATTAGCTACCTAGCTCTTAAGTTTTCGTCCGTTCGTTGATCGTCAATCAGTCAATCAATCAGTCAGTCAGTCGGGACAATCAGTTTTATATATATGGAAACAAGAGGATGTGAATCCTATAAATACAATAAAAATATTTAAAACATTTTTCTTTTCTTTTTTATCAATTACGTATAATAGGGGTAGTTCACAGCTAATTGAGGTTTCACTGTACTTGTTACTAGAATTTTCATGCTTATTCATTACATGTTAACTATTTCCTATATTTAGTTCAGTTGTTGGTTATCTCGGTATTTTGAATAAAAGTTCTTGAAATAGAAGGAATTTCTCAATTGTTTCTCTGAGTGTATGCGTCTCACAGATGTGCGACTGTGCGGTTTGCTCTGCATCGGCGTGTAATTTGCATATTTGTACGAAAAAGTGTGCTTGCAATTGTTGCGAATTATGAATCGACTTCTATATGTGAGTACGAGTTCGAGTGTGAATGCGAGCCAAAGTCAGAGTCGGAGTTGGAATCGGAGTTGGAGTCTGAGTTCGAGTCATCGGATCTCTGACCGTCTTAATTACAATGCTGGCAACGTTGCCACGCGAAAGTTGTTGTTGCTGCTGCTGCTGCTGCTGCTGCTGCTGCTGCTGCTGCTGCTGCTGATGTTGCTGTTGGTGCTGCTGCAATTGCGAGTTGTGCCGCTGTTGCCCCTGTTGCATTATTGACCAGTGAAAGTAACAATTGGCGCAGTTTGTCGACTTTTTCTATGCTATGCATATCTTGTGGCCTGTGGCTTTAAACAATGTGTCGCATTCTCAGCCAGCTAATTAATTAGCCACCGTCTACGCTCGCCTCTAATAAGCATGAGGTAATTCCAAATGCAGGCCAGGCGATCCCTGGATTGGAATAGAATATGCGAATTTGTTACCTCTGCCACATTGGAGTGGATGTCGCAGCTGCGTGTAGAAAGTTTAGCAGCAATTGCTGTGAACATTGTTTTTAGCCAGCCGCAAAATAGCTATTTGAGCCACTTGTCCGCAGCTTGGCCGAAACTTAGCCAACAATGATGATTGGGCCCGAGATCAAAGTCGATTGCCTGACGGCTGCATATCAAATCAAGTGGCACACGCAAACGTGCGAGCATTTCGAGGAGTGGATTGTCAAGACCGCCCAAAACTACTTTTACGAGCCTCAGATGCACAATTAAACAAATTAAAGTCAAGAGGACTTTGGCCCGAAGCCAGGCAGTCAGCTAGCCAGCCAACTAGCAACCGGATAGGCATTTTATTATATTGCCAGGGGGCGGCTGGGGGCTTATTAGTGTTTCCGCTAACGAGAGTTTGGCTATTAAATATGTGTGTTTTCGGCATGGAACAGCAGTGAAATTTGTTGCTTACCTGTGTTTGATTGATCGAATGATCGTGTGATTTAAATCAGTCATCAATTTCCAATATTAAGATCATTTAACATGCAGCTGCTGTTCGACTTATCTCTAAATCCAGTAAGGATCGTGATCACGATAAAACATCATCTATAAAACATATACTGGGTTATCAGAGCCCATTTTTATGAGCCTTTTAGATTTGATCTTGTGGCCCATATTTTCTTACGAAATTAATTAAAAACAATTGCAAATACTATATAGGATTAGTATAAAAATTTAAATGTCTACATTAATATAGTTTTTAGTTGTGTATTGTTTTATATAAGAGGCTTCGAATAACCCAACTATTTTATTTTCAAAATAAACAGCTGAATTTTTATCTGTGAAATTCGAATTAAGTAGCATAGGTTATTTGCAAATTAATTAGATTTTTTTTGCGTCGAGTAGTGTCTTTTACACTAACATATAAACTAAGTATTCACTTAATGTATTCTTATGTTCATTGGTTTTTGTTACTGGTGTAAGTGCCCTGAAGACGGTTTGCCGAGGTGCAACCGAAATATATTGGAAGCGAAATATTAAATTAAATTGTTTTTAACTTTTTATTTTAACAAACCCGGACCTCGAGCCAGGGAAAGGTCGCCAAAACCATCTCTAACATAAAAACTTAAATTATTAATTTGTTAAGAATTGAGCAGCAATAATGCTTGGTTCGTGTCTTGACTGCTAGAAATTGTCTTTTCGTGAGGAGCAAATGTGTTGCACACTTTCGTTATATTTCAATCTTTACGATAAGTGTGGAGCACTTTTTGACAAGGGTAATACAAATCGTTCAATGAGGAGCAGGGTTGCTGTAAATGCTAAACATGGTGCGTGCAGTAGCTATTCAAAATCGAACAATAGATGACAGTGTAAGTTGAGTCCGAATATTGGTCAATTTGTGGAACCTATTAAAATTACTCGTTAAGTGTATGCATCGTTAAGTGTGTAGAATGGTTGCTGAAATTGATAATATGAGCGTATGCAGCAACCATACAACTATGGGCAATAGATGGCTACTCGGCTTGAATTCAAGCAGATGTTTTAACAGTCGAGTTTAGGTAAAATATAACAATTTATTGTTTAAGCTAATTGTTGCTTATATAATTTATTAAATCTAGAAAACATACAGAGCACTCATATCACTGACTCCATTAAAAATTGTTAGCTAACTTACAGTTAAAAATGTTTAACAGGTCGATTACAGGACCATATTCTTACCACTTCTCGCCCGCAACAATTTCATGATCAGCGAGTTCTTATCCAGACCATATATCGACAAATAGTCTAAGTTTGGAGTGGTTGATTTCTCGCTTGAGCTTGCAGTATTTGTTGCTGTTGCTGCTGTTTCTGTTGTTGCTGTTGCTGCTGTTGCTGCTGTTGCTGCTGATGTTGCTGATGTTGCTGATGTTGCTGATGTTGCTGCTGTTGCTGCTGTTGCTGTTGTTGCTGTTGTTGCTGCTGTTGTTGATGCTGCCGCTGTGTCATTCGCTGTGCTTGGATCAAGGAACTCGCTGGTGGCTTCATCAAGGCTGCTGCTGGTGGAAATGTTGGTAACAGTTTCCTCCGTATCTTTTTGGGATGTGTTTTCGGTTGTGTCTTCAGAGCTGATGGGTGCAACTGTTGTTGTTGTCGTTGATATTGTTGATGTTGTTGTTGTTTTTGTCGGTTTTGCTGTTGTTGTGGTCGCGGGCAGAGTAAATGTAGTTGTTGTTGCGGGTGATGCGGTCGTCGGCGCAGCTGTGCTTGTTGTTGCTGCTGCAGCACTTGTCGTGGCCTCCGTTGCGGCTGCTCGCGCTGTTGCGGCTGTGCTGTCCATCATGAAGAGTATTTCTGTGTCGGCCTCGATTTCGCCAAAGATTTCGGCCGCAGATCTGAGATCAAAATTAAGCAACTGCGCGTCCGAAATGCCCTCCAGGGTGTTTAGTGGTGCCGGCGTCGTTGTTGTGGGTAGGAGCATGGGCGTCCCCAGAGGCAGGGGCGTGGCCAGAGGAAGGGGCGTGGCCAGCAGCAGGGGCGTGGCCAGAGGCAGAGGCCAGTTGTAAGGCGAATACTTCTCACTGCCGTGCGCCTTCTTGTGGTGGACTCTCTTAGTTAACGTGTCCTTGAGATTGTCTGTCGCCTGCCAGCTATCCTTGGAGCTCCACAGTTTGCTTGTAGCTGGCGCCTTAATGGGCTGCGCATCTTTGCCGTAGCTGTTCGCATCGAAGCCTTCGAAATTGTGTGGCTCGATTTTGCGTATCTTGCGATTGCTCAGATCCTTGGGCGTGGGCGTCGGGCGCTTGAATTTCCTCAGCAGGCGATGTGGTCGTGGAGTAGCTGTGCTTGTCCAGGTCAATGCGCCTGGTCTGGGTGAGGTTGTGGTTGAGGTCGAGCTGCTGCTGCTGCTGCTGGCTGGCTGATTGGCTGCGTAGAGCATGTGGGGAATGCGAGCTGTTGGCTTCGGGCTGGGCGGGGGTAGGCTGTGGGCCACCTCCTCGGCGGGCAGTGCGCACTCGCCTTTGTGCGTGATCTTCCAATCTGTGAATGAGCGGAGGGTGAGGCGACTCGCTTGTGGCGCTTGTTGCATTAAACCTACCGCTATTTGGGTCCTTGCAGCGCACTCGCTCCAGATAGCACTCGTTGATGATGGTGTAGCTAATGCCATTGCGATTGGCGCAAATCGGGCTGTAGACGGTGGGGCAGGGCTTATCGCAGCGCCGGCAGGAGCCCTCATAGAGAACGGTCCATGCTGTGGAGAACACTTTTAATTACAGTCGCCGCTCGCTAAGCCTCGACGCTTCAGTGCTTACCATTGCCCGCCGCCTGGCTGTGCTCCATCAGAGCGCACACATGGGCAAACGTGCGGCTCTCGCCATTGAAACTGCCGCAGACGGGTTCATTACTGAACACGCACGGCTTTGAACTCGCCTGTTCCTGCCCCTCCGCCGCGCTAGCATATCCATTGCGGATTTTAGCTGTGCTGCCATAGAGACGGCCGGCCTTGGGCCAGGCTGTTGGATGGGGCTGGCGGGCGGGCAGCGAGTAGCTCTTCTCCATGGTGCCTGAGTTGCTGATGAATTGCGTGTGAAATGTGGAGGGCGCAAAGATTTGCACCGCATCCTCCGCCAGCTCGAAGTCGTCCTCCAGCTGATTGAGCTGGTTGTGGCTGCGCTTGCTGCGCTCCATTTGCGACTCGGACTTGGATTTGGCCTTGGCCTCGGCCTTGGGCTTCCACTTGCGATTGTGCTTCATCTTGGTGCTGTCCTCGCCGCACATGCCCTCCGAGATGATGCGCCAATCTGCAAGAGCGCAACGCCGTCGTAAGTGCTGCTGGTAAGTTAGGTTATGTGTGCTTGGGGCTTACTTCTTCTGGTGCGTATGTTCTCCGCGTTGACCAGACACTCGTTCGAGAAGGTCGACTTGACGCCCGCATAGCTGGCGCACACCGGACGATACACGTTCGTGCAGGGTATGGGCCGGCGACGACGCCTGCGCTGGCCCACGAGCACCGTGTGCGCCGGCTGCTTGGGCTGCCGCTGGCCGCGGGGACAGGCGCCCCACATCTGGACCAGCCAGTCGGATTTGCTGCGGCACGAGGCGCGCATCATTTCACAGCGATTCCTGAAGCTCCTGCGCTCGCCCGAAGCCACGCTCACACCGCAAACGGGCTGAACTGCCGCATCGCACTCGAAGTCGCAGCCGGGCACACAATTGTGCAGCGCGACATCAACTAAGGGTCAGTTGTTTATATAGAGATCGAGTTTATATAATTGGCAATCCCAATCCTAGTCCCAGTCACTTACACAGTGGTCCGCCCATGAGATTCTCGCGCTGCGCATTTCTCAAATCACACTCGTTCTTGAACAGCAAATACGCGCCTTGACTGCGCCCGCAGATGGGCGTGTCATCATTGGCGCACAGCATCGTCTCGTGATCCACTGCAGTCGCAGTTGCAGTCAGAGTTGCAGTTGCAGTCAAAGCAAGCAGAGCCAGCAGCCATGCTTGTCTCCTATTTCCCATCGCAGTCATGCTCGTGTTCTAGTGCAATACTCGAATCGAAACTAAATGCAACTCGAGATGCATTCTGCTCTTTTATATCAAAGCGTGACCCATGGCGCCGTCGCAGATACCAAAAATTATTGTTGTCAACACGTGATAATCGCGACGCACAATCAACGCCAGCGAGCTGTGTGTGCGTGTGTAGATATATGTTGTGCATGACTGTTGCCATCTCGGCCCAAACTTATTAGTTTGATTATCTTGCGGATTGGGTTCGATTCGGGCTTAGTTTCTCCAACTCCAATAAGCCAGAAAATGTGGTTCGTTTAGTCGCATTTCATTTGATTATATATTTTCAAATATTTTATCTATTATAATTAGTAGTATTAAAATACTACATGTTCTTAAACTTAGCGCCATGACAGAACAGATAAAACAATACAGGGCATAAAAAGAGCACTCTAGTCGGGAGTGCCCGACTGCTCCTTCTTCGAAACATGTATAGCACAAGCACAGGTTTACTTTACGCAGCGACTGTGCTTTTTCTTTCCCGCAGTCAGGATTAAATTAATAGTTTATATTCCAATCTCTTTTTAACATTGTTGGCACCAAATATGGTGCTTAGCTCCCATAATCTTTGAGCTATGCTCAACATAGAAATCCTGCAAAGGTACTAGTCTATGACCCTATGAACTTTCACAGGTGCTCCCTGGTATATGAGCAACTATCATATACATAAAGACCTAAACATGCCCTTTGTCAGAAGTGAAATATGTCGAAGGACTGTGAGGTGTATAAATAGGTTACACAATCACAAAAGAACTTGGCTCTGGATCTCTTAGACAGTAGTTTGGACACACGACGATTAAAAAATTACACGTACCGGATCTTCCACACATAAATTAAGTTAAATACACAAACTATAACGTCATATATATTGTTTGAGTTCCAATGAGTTCATCCTGTTATTATATCTTTACTTGCTAAGCAATTTGTTTATTGGCCTAAGACAGATTACAAATAAAAAACGAGTTAAAACAAACAAAAAAATATAAATAAAAAAAGTTTCAAGTTTCTTTTGTAGTTTCGAAGTTCACATAGACAGACAGACTCGTCGTCCTAATCGAGAGATGTTTTTGGCTGTTACATACACTTGCTCAAAATGAGTATACCCCTCTTAACCATTTCTGATGGTTAGAATATATAAACAATAGAATAAATGATTCAAACAAAAATATTTAAATATGATTAGACTTAGTTATCCTTTTCGACTTTCATTTGAGCATATGAACGGGTCGAGTTTCTGCGTATAATCAATCGAAATGTTTCAAATGCCAGGTTTAGAATCATCCTTGCCTAAAACACGATGATGCTGTCTATTTAATCATCAGATTTGCAGCTGTTGACATAAGTTTTCATTTAGTCAATTAGATTTGCTTCGATTGGTCTTTTGCTTGTTTGTAGAGTGAGAATCTTGTTGCGGCACGTGCTACGTGATTTTTGGCTGATTTTGGCAACGCCGCGAGATTCCAGATAAGACGACGACGCATTTGCTGGCGTTGCCGCAAGCACCGCAGTTGCTGCCGAACTTGGCATTTGCATTGATTGTGCACAAATTGTGCAAAAGTTGATGGCTTATGCGAATGGTGAGTGGTGAGTATTTAGTATTTGGTCTGTAGTCAGACTATCCGACTATCCGACTATCTTTTCCGCACTTCTGCCAACTGATTGTGGAGCACTTCGAACGCTTCTTATCTCGCCCCCAACCGCAGACAGCCCTCGTTTCTTTTGCTCTTGCTGCGCGTTTCATGCCGTATCAATAAACTCGACCCAGCACCCGACAACTACCTGAATTTCAGCTATGTATATATACTTTATATATGTATATATAAATACATACGAGCACTTTTTTTTACCGCTGAATGAATTTCGTGCAATCGGCAATGGAAATTCTCTAATATCCGGCCGATAAGTGCCCAACGCATTCATTCAGCAAAATGTATAGATACGCTTTAATTTTGCTTATCAATTTTATCTATAGCTCAAGAGACGTGAATGATGCGGAGATAGATAATTGGTTTTACCTTGAGGTAGACTTTACATATAAAAGAGACAAGAACTTGGAAGATAGGAATTATGCTTCATGTTGGGGTATGGCATATTCATAAAGTATATTTTAATCATAATATAAATATTTAATAATAAAGTGAATATACTCGCTTTATAACGCAGGGGGGAAGTGGGTTTTCCTAAAGTCAACAAGTTTTTTTGGTTTCAATGACAGCAATTAATATTGTGACAAATGTTGATAAAACTGCATTGACGTATTACCTGCAATAAAAAGTCACCAGCAGCAAGTTTCGTCTGCATATTTTTTAAAAAAAAAAGATCGATACCAGTTTGCAAAGAAACAAACATGCAATAAATGGACATGCTTTTAGCGCCTCAGCTAGCCGGCGAATTCATCTTGAATACATTTCAAATAAAACAATTTGCGTTTTAAGAGCTGCGCTTAAACTTGAAACTCAAACCAGAAGCAGGGCTGTATCTTCGTGTCAATTTTTTAATGCGTTTTTAATAGATGTCAAATTTTATTTAATCTCAAATTGACTGGCAAGCTAACTGAAAATGTTACCAGACATCTTGTCAATATGTACAATTGAAATTGTATAATTAGGAGGATTCCTTTTAACGAACTTTAATAAATAAAAATAAATTTATCATCAGGATAAATATATCCACATTAGCCCAATGTTGCTTACATGAAAATTAACACAACTTTATATTACACTTACACAATTTACAATGAAAATTGCATATTCAAGACTTAAACAGTTTCTTTCAATGAAATTTATTAATCGAAACTGAATTTATCCTCGGGATAAATATGTCTTTCTTGTTTAAATGATGCTTACAAGAAAATTAACACAAAAGTATATTAACACAATTCACAATAATAATTGTATAGTCAAGACTAACAATTCCTTAAAATGTAGTTGAATAGGAGAAAAGGAAATTATCTTCAGGATAAATATGCCTGTATGAGCTTTCATGTCTAGATGATTCCTTCAACAAATATAATAAATTTATTTATTCACAATTAAAATTACACACTTAACACCTTAATAGTTCCCCACAATTAATATGAGTAAACGAAAAAGGCTTTATCCTCAGGATAAATATGTCTATATGAGCTGTCTTGCTTGGATGATGACTCCAACCCATGTGAATGTGTACAAAAATGTATACATAATATATATTAAGGTAACAGACACAATCACGCCAAATTCAGCTGAGCTTTAACAAACCGACTAATAAATTCAGAATCGCGTAAATCTCCATCAAGAAAATCGTTCTTTGGAGCAATGAACAGTTATTATTTTGGCCGTTTGATTATTTTAGCAGCAACATTTGGCAACTGTCATTTGCTGTTCTTAGTAAGCAGCATTTGCAGTTTGGTCGATTTACTTTGACATAAAGATTTCGTGCCGATCGTGGCAGCAGCTGTTCTCGATGCCATTAGAAGCAGCCAGAAGCTTCTTTGGGACGCTAATGGCCAGCAATTAGAAAACAGCAACAGAAACGGGCGCGAAATTGCAAAAGTTTAAACGGGAAGCGCTCCAAAGAAAAGAAAGCAGTTGCGAGCGTTTGCTGAATATCTCAGCGCTGAATGCGATGCATAACTAGGTGAAATGTGAGAGGCAGCTAGAGGGAAAGAGAGAGAGAGAGAGAGTGTGGCTCTGAAAGAGCTGGAGAGCGATTGCTTGGATCGCTACTTGCTGGGCTGCTTAGCTGCTTGGCTGTGACTGTGGCTGTGGCTGCGGTCTTTGGCAGCTTTGTTAGAGCAGCGAGAAAAAAACGCAACGCAGTCTAACGACAAGAGCTGAAGCATAAAGACATGCGAGGACGGGTGCAACGGCCGCTAAAGTCAGTGAACGCAGCGCATAAAACAAAGAAATAACCAAAAAAAAAAAACCGAGTAAATAAATAAATAAATAAAAAAATTAGAAACGAACTTCAGATCTTCAGACTTGAAGACCGCGTGTGGCACCTAGTGTTAGCCAAGCTGAGCTACAACTCTCTGGCTTAAAAGATGGTTGTGCAAAAGGCGGCCACGCCCACACTGCCAGCTGCAGCCGTGGCAGACAGCCCCGACAACTGCTACATGCAACAATATCAGAAATATGCCACACACTGCGAGACCGCGGACAGCGGCAATGGCAGCGACCTGGAGAGCAACGGCGGACCCGTGCAGGCGGCGGCCCTCCTGCTGACCGACGACAGCGAGGAGAGCGAGCCGTCCTCCCTGAACAGCGACAGCCTCAACTGCAGCAGCACGGAGTACGTGCGTCAGGCGGCGGCCAAGCCCAGCGGCCAGCTGCGCCAGCGCCACAAATCGCTGCGCATGCTCGGCAACCTGCTGCCGGACTCGCTGCTGCGCGACATACGCGACAGACGCAGCGCCGAGTACGTGGTGCAGTTCACCAGCCCCGTCGCCGACGCCGACGCCGACTCGGTCGCCGACGCCAACGCGGTCGCCGACGCAGTCGCGGTCAAGGACAAGCCGCCAAACCGGCAGCCAGCGAGCGGGTCCGAGCCGAGGCCAATGTCGCGGCGCCTGTCGCGCGAGTCGCTCAACGAGGCGAGCATCGAGGAGCTGCGCGCCGCGGTGCAGCGGGCCAACTTTGTGCAAACCGGAGGCGACCAGCCGCCGCCACTTGCAGCAGCCACCAGCGGGAGCGGGAGCGGGGGGAGCGTGAGCGGGGGCAACTACAAGTATGCGGACGATCAGTACTACAGCTTTCACATAAACGAGCACGAGAACTTCAGGAGCTTTGCGCGGCATGACGAGCAGTGGGACGGGAAGCGGGACGGGCAGCGGGACGAGGCGGCGATGCACGAGGATCACGACGTGTTCGCCGGCTATCGGGACGTGCGCAGCAGCGCCAGCTCCACACAGTCCACAATACGCTCCGCCAAGGGAACCGTGCGAGGCGTCAAGAATCGTGTGCGCAATGGAATAGCCACGTTCTTGCAGCTGCAACAGCAGCCGAATGTGAAGGTAAGCCAGGTGTTGCAACGTGCATTTGCCCCATGTTGCAACATGAACTTTCCTCTCTATCCATGTGTGTGTGTGTGTCTCTCTGTGTGTGTGTGTGTCTGTGTGTGGAATAGCCACGTTCTGGCAGCTGCAACAGCAGCCGAACGTGATGGTAATCCAAGTGTTGCAAGGTGTTGCACTTCCAATGTGGCAACATGAACTTTCCTCTCTATCCATGTGTGTGTGTGAGTGTCTCTCTGTGCGTCTGTATGTGTGTGAGTGTGTCTGGTACCTTCCATTGAGTCACTTGTTGGCCAAATTATGCAATCGTGGCGCGCATCTTGGCGAATTGTTTACCAATTGCACGCTCCATGGGAGAAAGTGCTGCCAAACAATTGCCGTTAGTTGTTGTTGTTGCTGATGCTGTTGTTGTTGCGGTTGGTGTTGTTGTTGTTGTTGTTGCTCTGGTTGTTGCTTTTCAATATCTTTCACATTTGGTATTTATGTCTGGCCGCCTGCTGCTCGTAATCTAATGAGCCGCAAGTCTCTGCCAGACTGCCAAACAGCCTAAGCACACACAGCGTCTTTTCTCCAGTGCTGCCCATTTGTGTGTGAGTTTTTCTCTCTCTGTGTATGTGTGTGTGTGTGTGTGTGCGTGCAATTACACACTCGCATGCTTAATGAAATACCGTTAAGTGGCTTATTTTGTCGCCACTCACACAGCGCTTGGCTTTGGCTTATTTAGATATTGGTTGGTTTTGTGCTTTGGCCACTTTTTTTTTCTTTCCATTTTTTTTCATTTGTTTTTTGTTGGTTTTCTTTGCTCCCAGCCAGATAAATGATTTAGCTTGAGCCGTTTGTTGAGTTACTAATCGCAGCTCGCTCGAGATTGTGCAGTTAGAAAACTTAAACAACAGCTAAATAAATCATAGAAAGTCAGCGAAGCTGTTTGTGGAATTGCCCACATTTGCTTCGGGGCGTGTGCTGAGATCCCATTCGAAGTGATCATCAGGTTAATTAAACTAAAGAAAATATCGCATAACTATGATCACATATTTCCCTGACTTCGAAGGCAACTTAGATTTTAGATCTATTGTTATTATAATATGCCCACACATATCTAGACAATGTAGTAAAGTTAACAAAAGAAACCGGTATATATATTGTACGAAGAAGAAATAAATTAAATTAGATTGATTTGAGATAAGTTTGTATACACGACGACACAAAAACTGAGAGTCTAGTTTTGGATAGTATTTATATGATATATGCACGCCTCGGAATAAATAAGTTCTTATAAATGGGAAGTATAACTCGTTATTGCCAGTGTCCCATATCTAACATATCTTTAACATATCACAAATTGAGTTCAATATCTCAGTTATCAACTAATAGTTCCTATGGCTGCTATATGTTATATATATAGTCAGCTGATAAGGTCGACTCAGACATATCTTCTTCTCGCAGAAAACTTTCAGATCAAGGCGGAAGTTAAGACGAACATGACTTAATCAACTCGCCTGTTGATGTTGATGAAGAATATAAATACTTTAAGACTTCGCAGATGCCATTTCCAATGCCAAGATTTCAAAATTGATCTTTATTGTAGAGCTTATCAAGGTCCACCAGCAGTTAAATCTATACTAAGTATCTGTTCTATATACCAGCAGATGAATCTCTAATCTCTCTTCTGTAGAACATATATTCCAAGAACATAACAATTTAAACCCATTTTTATGTTCACTATTTAAAACTTGTCTTTTCTAAAATAGAGTTATTTTGAATATAGATAAAAGTAAGTATTATTTATTTTGGGCCCGGTTGTCGAGCACCTCTTGTAATTGTTTCGTTACAAAAAAATATTCATTTATCAGCACAGTTTCTCAAGACTTCAAGACAAGTTTGCTTTCAATCATTATAAATATTGGTCATACCAGAGATATTTGCGTTAACGGTTATCTACATTTTATCGAGCATAAAAATCAGTTCATCTATGAACTTGTTGAAACTTTCGGTTTGGTCTGCAATCATATAAATGTTATGGACACATGAATATAGTCAGTTTTAGGGTTTGTTGTTTTTTATGCTCTTTAACTTTTATTATTGAGCTAGTCAGTTGCGCGCATTTCACTTCCACAGAAGACCAGGAAATTTCCCTTTATCTATTTTAATGCTTAGATTCGAGATCAGTTTAATTGTTGTTGTTGTTGTTGTTGCTTTTCACTTTCAAAGCCACAGAGCTTGACTGTGGGCTTGATGTTGAATTTGATGGAATGCTGAAGAGCATAAATTAGCCAAATGCCAAAGAAAAGAAATGTGTTTTGTGGCCTTATAGCGGCGGCGCTCATGCAAATTAGCCAAATCGAAAGAAGTCGAGGAGTTAAGGCTAACAATGCGATCGCGTCTGCATAACAATACAAAATAACAGAAGAAAAACCAGCTCAGATGCTGCTAATTACAATGCAGCCACAGCATGCAGGTCAGTTCGGACTGAATCGAAAGTGAAAATAGGCTGGCCTTTGTATGTTATTTTTTTGTTGAGTGTAGGATTTAATATGCGCCGAGCACGGGGGCAGGCAGTTAGTCGGCTTTGCGGGCCCTTTGATTGATGTCTTGTGGCTTTAAGCCATAATTAGAGCAAAACTGCTGCCAAATTGTTGCTGTTGCCACAAATAAAAATTCAATGAAAATCAACAATCAAAGATGTTGCCTTCGTTTTGTCACCTTCGAGAAGGCAGCAACAACAACAATAACAATAACAACAACAACAATAATAACTGGAGACATGAAGAGACTGCTGTCAGCATTGGCATTAGCCTCGTAGCCGGCGTTGCTCAACTCTTCGTCTTCGATTGCCAATCACTCGAACCGACTGCTGCCTGCCTGCCTGCCTGCTTGCTGGCCAATACAAGTGACCTGCTTTCTCTTTTTACCAATTCATGCAGCTGCGGCTGCGTCTGCGTCTTCGTCTCGTCTCCGTCTCCGTCTCTGCTGCGGCTGCAGCTTGACATACACTGAGAAAAAAAACAGCTACTGCTGCGAGGTTAGCCGTGCAAATCACGTGTGTTAATTGTTTGTCTATGTCTATGTTTTTTGGCAACTCACAAAAAAACGAAACACAAAACAAAACACAAATAAAAGTCTTGGTTGACAATGAGCTGCAGCAGGCCAAAGCGTTAATCAGCCTCAGAGCTGGAGAAGTGAGCGATGTGTGGTGTGCGGAGTGCGGTGCATCTGGGAGGGAGGAGGAGTGGGATGGTGGGGCATCCTCGTGTTTTCACCAGGGACAATTGCGGCAAATGGAATTGGAAAAACCGCCAGGCGACATCTCACAGAGCGACGACATTCACCGCGTCGCAAAAGTTGACTTTCCATTTGACCGCAGCTTGTTTTGGCTAGTGTTACGAGTCTTTGAACTTCTTTGTTTTTCACACAACCCGCATTAATATTTATCACGTCGCACAGTATTGAAAAGAGTCGCTAAATTTCAGATGCAACAGGGTAGCTGAGGTTCAACTACGCCTTTTTGCTAGTAGAATTTTTGAAAATATTCAAATACATAATAGAAATTAGGGATGGGCACACACACTCGTGCGTGATAAATACGGGTCCGTGCATATCTCACCAACACGAAGAACACGATCTCTCAAGAGGAACCACAATGTTATCAGGCTTAACATAAACTCCGTCTAAATGTCACATCTAATTACATCTTAACCCTAACATTCCTTCTTTCATAATCAAAATTCTTGAGGGTATATTTTTTGAACGTGCTCGTGTCTGTTCGTGTCACGCGGAGAAACACGCTCAATTGGAGCACACTCTCCAATGGGAGAACAGGTCTTGCCCACAGCTCTGTGTGCTCCCCAGTTTAACACTCCGCACACTTGCAGCTCGAATTTGATCAAGTGCGATGTGCTCTAACGGTCTAATCTCGAGCTGAATGCATTTAGCTGGCGAATTCTCGTTACACCGGTTTGAGAAGCGGGGGATTAGCGACTTATTTTGAGTATCCGCACGGTTGTGGCTGCACTTGTACAGTTCATTGATACCACTTGGCTGGGGCTGGCTCCGGCTGGCTCCGGCTGGCTCGGCTTGGCTAGCTGGAAAGCTGGAAAGCGGTTCATTAGCCAAAGCAGCAAAGCAGACGGCACCAAAGTTGGCCAACTAACGGAAATGTTAATTGTCAAATGAAATGAGTGAACCCGAACCGGTTCGCCGGGGGGGGCCTTACAAAATAAGCCATCATAAATAGTCGGAAAAACGTCGCATTTCCATTGTGCGAGCGAGTGTGTGTGTGTGTGTGTGCTGGAGTCACAGCTGCTGCCAATTGGCTAGCAGTTTTTCCATTATTGCTTAATTAAATTGATTAATAGGATTTTGAGTGACATGCAGAGTCGTTTGGTTACGTGAGCCCGACAAAAGCTAATGAACCCAACCTGTTGTAAACACTCCATCGAATGCCCAAAGAGACTCTCAGCCAAGCCGAGCCGAGCCAAGCCGAGCCAAGCCAAGTCTTTTCATATTGTGTTCACACATACCAAAGTTGATTGTCTTTTTGTTGGTTCTGTCATCCAGAGATTTCTCCCCAAATTGGAATACAATTTTTGTTTGCTATGGAAAGCGGAAAATGTCGCTGCATTTTGTATGGCTTATATTTGGTCATGGCTTTGTTTTAGCCCCATTTGATCTTCTTTGGCGTCGGTCATGTTCGTAGCGGTAACCGAAATCTGAACACTGTGGCGAATTCTGTGCCAATTTCAAGCTATTTTCTTTTACTATTTTGGTGACCTGCTTTTGCAGCAGACACTTGGAGAACTGGAACTAAACTTGGTCTAATCTTTTGCCTCTCTTCATTTCTCTTCTCTTCTCTCTCTTCTGTTTCGCAGTGCTACATGGAGAAAGATCTGGGCAAGGTGGTGCTGTATACGACCAGCATGGGCGTCATACGGGACACCTATGCGAAATGTGCCAATGTTAAGCAGATTCTGCGCACGCTGCTGGTCAAGTTCGAGGAGCGGGACGTCTTCATGAGCGTGGAGTATCAGGCGGAGATGCGGCAGCGCATGCAGACCTCACAGATACGCGTGCCCCAACTCTATGTGGAGGGCCAGCTCATCGGCGACGCGGAGACCGTCGAGCGCATGAACGAGTCCGGCGAGCTGCGCCAGCTGCTCAAGCCCTACAAGTCCATCGCCAGCACATACACCTGCCAGACCTGCGGCGGCTATCGGCTGCTGCCGTGCCCCTCGTGCAACGGCTCCAAGAAGTCCGTGCATCGCAATCACTTCACGGCCGAGTTTGTCGCGCTCAAATGCATGAACTGCGACGAGGTGGGGCTGGTCAAGTGCCACAATTGCTGACGGGATGAACGTAGATGCTGTGAGGACCTGGACCCTACATATATTTGTATATTTGCATTTTGTATAACCGCTTAATCTAAGCCCTGTTTAACTTAGTCAACAACAACAACCACAACAAGCATGATCATACTAACTAACCAAGTCTAGACCTAAGTAGTAAATAGTTTCAAAATGGCAATGTTTGCGTTTTATTATGACTTTTAGTGGATTGATGATAATGTGTATTATATTTTATGGCATGCCGATTAATTATATTTTGATAAGTACATGTGCTTTACAAATATTTATTTATTTTCAAATAATTTTTCAATTGTTGCTATTAATCTGCCAGAGACCTAATTGATGCCTGAACTTAAGAGTTTTTCTATGTAGGGGTTTTTTTTTTAAGGTTCTAATAGGTGGACTCCCCGAGAATATCTCAATGCTTGAGCTTCATAGGAAATATGTTAATTGATCTTTCAGCAGATTGAGATTTTTGATTTTAAGATGAATTAGGGCTTGTTTTTAAATTTTTGAATGGATTTCTATATATATTTATTTAAAAACTGTTAGCCAAAAAAATGCAGATTTCTTTCTTTTAAGAACTTTCAGAAGACCTCAAAAAAAATTTCTTCAGTTTTTCAATCTTCCATTTCACACTTTCTAAGAACTTTTTCAATATTATCTTAAGATCAATTCGTACCCAGCTTACACTGAGATTGAAAAACAAATCTCACAGTTTGATTCAAAGCATTTTAATTGTAAATATTTGTTATAACCTGTCCGATATTTTATGTTGAGGCTTTATTTTGCCCAGACGGGCTTTTTCTGTGCGAGTTCGCAATCCAATTTTATTCTATGTGCTGGGTCAAGGTGTGCATACAATAGAGTTCGTCAGGTCTGATGGTGTTTGCAGTCTCTCTGCCCCTCTCTCCCCATCTCGCTCTCTCTCTCTCTTTGAGTGCTGCTATCTCCCTCTGCTCATCTATTCCTCTTTGCTTGGCAATTATGTAAACCTGCTCCACTCAGACTTCGCACTGACCGTGCAATTTTCTCGCGCCATTTAATTTCTGCCAGCCTGACCGTCTGGCCTTTGGGCCTGCTGGCCAGCCTCAGCCTCCGCCGGCTTCAGCTCCTGCTCCTGTTCGGACTGCCCAGCCGAACCATTTGCTATTGCCATTTGCTTTTGGTGTCTTTGTTAGTTATTGTTATGGCATTTTTAAATGTTATTTTCCACTTGGCTCACACTTGTGTTTAACATGCCGCCCACACGCACTCTGACAGCCCGCAACCCCTCGCTGCTGACCAGGCCAACTGACCCTGGGCCAGCAGCGAACCACCAGCGAACCCTTTACACCAGCGGGTGGTAAAAATTGTTGTGTTGTGTTCCGTTCCGCATTTGCTTGTTGGCGACTGTTGGCACTGCGGCCCGGATCGTTAAACTCACAGGCGGCTACATTGTAATTACCAGCCAGAGCCCGCCCAGTCCGGGCGACCCGTCGAGCGACTGGCCCAAATCCTCCAAGCCAAGGCAGCTTGATTTATGCGCCAGCAGCGACGCCGTCGGCATCGGCAACGCCGTCGTCGCCGTCGTCCTCGTCATACGCAATTTTTCATAAACAATTTGGCACAATAACACACAGAATATGCCGCTGGGCGTGAGTGGGAAGGGAGCTGCTGCCTGATGGCTTCGCGGGCTGTTGGACCAGTTGGGCGATTGCCAAAAAAAAAAATCGTGCAATATTAAAATAAATATTGTAAATGCCGGTAATGCTGGCAAACGGCAGCATATGAGCGGCTTGTGGCCACAGCAGGGCAGCGGGGTCGTTGGACTGACAGCCACACACGGCAGTCAGAGTAGCTGTCGCCGTCGACTCGCCCAACTGCTGGCAGTTAAACCTTTTAAAGGCAGACGACGGGCCACAGCCACAGCGAACTCCTCCAACTCCATTGACTCCACCTTTGCCATGGGCTGCCATTGTTAACTTTATCCGCGGTAATTAGTTTATGCGCGCAATTTCATGTGCATTTCGGTCATTAAATATTGTTGTTGTTGTTGTTCTCGTTGTTGCTGTTTTTTCCAGCTGCTGTGTGCATTATTATTATTTTGGCATACTCTCCGGCAGCGGCTCCAATATGTATCCAAAACGTCGAAGCTTACAGTTAATGCTGCATACTTTCCGGCGCAGGTGTTTGTTCGGCCCGCACACTATAAATTTGGGCATGGCTGGGGCCAGGGGGGCCGTGTGCTCCCAATTGGCGACAAATAAAATTAGGAACACATTATGTTTTCGACAAAAACTTTGAAATTGTTTTGCCATGCCATACCATGCGCCACGCCCCCCGCCGCCTACTTACTGGGCATTCGCCGTGCGCCCAGCAGCTCATTACATTAACTGGGGCTTGGGCCACAAATCACGGGCAGCTACTCAACGGATTATTAAGTGAAAATTATGGCACTCCTAAGGCTCATAAAGCATTCACAATGCTCTTGGCCCCGCCAGCAGCGGCGGTTAGTTACGTTTTTTATTGTCAAACCATTCTTGTTGTTGTTGCTGTTGTTGTTGTTGCTGTTGTTGCTGCTTGTGGCACTGCCCTAACCCATTTGCTGTCTGCTATAAAACTAACATAGCTCACATTATGGCACAGCCCAGTCAGCCAGAGACTTTTATGCTTTCAGTGTGTGCATAAGTTTTAATCTGCCTTTGTTACAATCTGTTGGCTTCGTTCGCTCTGTGGTTCAACTGATGCTGCAGTTGTGGCTGCTGCTGCTTCTGCTTCTGCTGCTGCTGCTGCTGCAAGACAAAAGGCCACAGTGGAAACCACACTGAAGCCCGAATGCTCAATCCCAAGAAGCCAGCAAGAGACTAAACGTTGTTGTGCTTGGCCCTTTGTTCAGTTAACACAGCCTGTGGCATCGATAATGGCAGCTTTTAACACATACCACCACACCAGGGCTACCATCTGTTAAGATATGCACTCAATGGCAGGGGGGAGCCCTGGGGACACATTTGCTTTTCTACACGTTGTTTCCCAAGCTTCTATTTTGTATTTGATATATGCCCGACCCGGGTTCCTTTATCAGTTTTTCACTGAAGATCTCACAGTTTCTTTCTTTCAAAAGTCTTTGACTTTAAGGCACTCCCTAAACATAATTAGTTATTTTGAGTTGTTGCTGTTTAATAATTGGTTTTCGTTAAGAACATAAATATTTAAAGTTATTATTCAGAGAAAAAACACGCATTGTGTACCCGAATCAAACTCAAGTTAAACCTAAAATTGATTTATCTTTAAATGAAGTTTTTTCATTATCTTTTCTCTTTGAGCCCCAAAACTGCAATATATAAGACTTGGAGTCCTGTACATCATCAAAGAAATTCGGTACTTCAATGGACTACATTTCACGCTTGACTTATAAAAATTCTTATAATAAATATTTTGTACCCAAACAAAAAGTTTCTTCATTGTTTTGAAAACTTAGAATTTAATAATGTCAAGTCATTGATTTTATTATAATACTCTAAAATTCCTATAAATTCATTACGTTCCAACTTTTCTCTTAATTTGTTACTCCTTATTTTTAACTATTTTTTCTATTATTGGGCGTATACTGTGCCCATTCTCCTCGATTTGACAACCACAGCCCTTAGTACATATATATTTCTGAGACTTTTTGGAAGTTACTCCAATATATTAGAGTAAGTTTCTGTTCAATTTGTGTTACGAACCTCATTAGACAGTTTTTATACCCAGTGCGAGCAGCCGAAAGTGCAAAACAATTCACAAGTTGCCGCGCAGTAAATAAAATAAAATACAATAAAATAAAATAAACGAAAGCAAAAAAAGAGAAAGAAGAAGCTGAAAGTAAGTAAACAATTGATTAAAATTTATGCACTTCATCCGCTCGAACCGCACACAGAGCCATAGACACACGCAATCGAACCATTTCTATATAGATATAAGACGCCGCCCATCCAAAGTTTGCCTTTCAACCTGTGCGTGTGTGTGTGAGTGTGTGTGTGTGTGCGTACGGCTGGGTAAACAGCATTTTGATTAAATTATTTTAATGGTAAGTGAGAGATCTATGGTAAATGTATCCTCAGTCAATATGCTAGCCTCTTCCGCCCACTCAACCGCCTCCTCAGCCCCCTCCCCATCCCTCCCTCTGCCCCTGCCTGCGCAGCTGCAGTCAATTAATTCAGCTGCGAACTATTAAAGCACACACCGGGCGCTCATAAATTGAGTTTGAAGCGCGACTTGCGAGCAGCCGCACATGAGTCAATTCTCTGAGGGGAGTTGCAAATGAATGAATATTTCATACGCTGCGTATATGCGTAACCCGACGCAGATGCAGATGCAGATACTCCGGGAGTACTCCGTCCGGGCAGCCCTTCTACCCCCCCTCCCCAAACCCTGGCATAAGCCGTTGCTAGCCGTTAACCAACTGTTTCGCCTGTATTAGCTCCGTGGCAGGAGCTCTCGGACAGTTTTGGGATTGCGTCTGAGTTTGGATTTGGATTTGGATTTGGCAGCAGGCGCCCTCAGCGGACTCACCTGCCCGCATGCCCTACCTCACTCCTTTACGCTGTCTTTTAGCTCTCGTTATCTAGCTCTCTCCCTCTCCCTCCCTCTCCCTCTCTCTCTGTCTTGTTCGCTTTATATCTGCTGCTCAGTTTGTCTCTGTTTAACTCTCTGGCTGACTGGCAAATATTTATTGAACACGATTTGCTCGTTAGGCGAACGCAATACACACACACACACACACACACACACACACACACTAGCACACACACACCTACAGCGCTTCTTTGGCTGCTGTTTCGCTTCGCACATTCGTTTTTCACTTTGATTCATTTTGTAGCATTTTTCAATTTCTTTGTATTGAATACTTTTCCTTCATTTTCCCTGTGCTTTCTTTTCTTTCTCATTTTTTTTCTCCTTTTTTTCTCGTTTTTTGTTGCGATTTTTATCTAGGACGTTTCTCAGCTGCCGAGCGATTTGTGTGCAAATTTTCCACTGTCATTATGTGCATGTATGTGTGTGTGTGAGGGTGTGTGTGTGTGGGATGCGTGTGTGTGTGTTGGCGTAGGTGTGCTAGTTCGAAATTTGGCCTAGGCCAGCTAGTAGCTAGGCCAAAAGAAACAGTTAATAAAATCCCTTGACACGGAGGCGTTTACATAAGCTTTTAGCAAATAATTG